CTGGCAATGATGGCACTGTTTTAGCTGGCATGCCAGAACTGGTCCAGTTATGGTTTTGTTTGTGTGGTGCTGACCCATGCATTGACCACATCTGGACCACCAAAGGGTAGTCATTGTTTGCAGTATCTGGGTGGTCAGTTTACTGCGTGGGCCAGAACTGGGCCAGACAAATTTTGCTAAATGGGTTCATCTCCAAGAAATRTTGCTAAATTAAGTGAAGATATTAACTTARGTTCRGGAGCAGGACCACGCCTCTCACCTTCAGCCAATCACAGTGTCTATTTAAACTCTCCTCACCTGGTGKTCTGCCCTCASCTCACTGTCTCCACACACCCTCTCCTTCCRCCTCATTTAGGCCYCTTYGCATGCCAYCATCGTGCCACCTTCCTCACTCCCTTCATTCCTTYTTCATCCCTTCYTCATCCCTCCATCCTTTCATCCCTTCATTATCCCTCTATCCCTTCATCCCCTCCCTACACTCCTTCATCCCTCCCTCATCTCTTCCTCACCACTTCATCCCTTCATCTCTGCTTCTCCTTCTTTCTCCTCCATCCCTACCTCAAACTGCCTCCTAAYCCATTCCTTTTCAGGTTCCAGCTGGGGGGTCCAAAGCAGGCTCAGGAAAAAGCATTCTTCCTGGAGACCATGCCCCACTCTGAGTCTTCTCCTCAAGCCTCCTTCGATGTACCTCCCCAGACGCCTCATCATTCATCCCACCTTCAATAAAATATTTAAACTCAAACAATGGCGTGGTCCTTGCCAGTGAAATAAATGTAAATATGAAGTTCCTTTAAGTTTATAGAAATGTTTAAACAGATATATGTTGACCGTTATTTCTTACAGAACCTGATAAAATAGTCAGTTTTTGTTTCCCCTAATTTATTTATGTGAGCCTTTAGTTTTCTTTTGTTGTTTAGCCTTAATAATTAAAAGAGAAATACAATAAATACACATGTTTAACAGTCAGCAGGATTTCTCTTCAGTGTTTCGGGACTGCTGTGAACTTTAATTATTGGGAAAGCAGAAATGTGGAAAGAGTTTCTGGTGAGCACAGTGTTTAACTCAGAACTAAAATAGTTTCTATGACTCATGCTTGAGCATTACAATGACATCATAGTGTTTAATACAGTTTTCATTTGGAAAAGATTCAGTGTGGTTGTGATCATTTTCTACGTTAATAAAAAATAGGTTTCTTTCAAAATAGTTCTTAAGGTTTTATAAACAACTGCATTGTGTACAGAGGATGGACCGGTAAATGAATAATGCTAAGGTTTTAGAAACCTTACAAAACAAGATTTCAGAACCATATTTAACAAAATGCCAAACAACAAAGTTTTGATTCCTCTTTTGTGTTTGCTCTTAGGAGCAATTTATTTCAAAAAGTCTCCTTTGCGTTTTATGAAATAAAATTGTTCTGTTTTGTCTGTTTGCATCAACGCCGTGTTTTCTGTCTTGTTCCGTCAAGATGTCAACCTCTCATTCTGATGTTGAGGTTTTGTCTAATGTTGCTGTGTTTTGCACCTCGGGGGCCTCTGTGGAAGGAAACAGAGGAAGATGGAAAGAAGAAAACAAATTCTGAGGTAATGCTAGTTTTYATACTGAAAACCTGTGCAGCTGGGGTTGATTGTGTGTTGGAAAAACAGATAAAACGCTGAGCAGTAATTAACCCCTTTTCCTCTCCCAGGTGAAATACTAGGCACTTAGACGGAGAGAATACACAGTTTAATGCAGAAAGCGAGCTAAAAATATTTAACTGATTGGAATTTCAGAAACAACACTCTGGTTCATCAACTAAAAAGTAAAAGTCAAACTTTAAACTACAAAACTCCTCATTGACAAGCTGTACTGAAGAGAGTCTTTATTTTAATTACAATATTGYAATAAATTAGATTAAAACTGAATATAAAAAGAACGTGAGCAGTGATTAGCCCTTCCCCAGAAACAATAGTTTTTTTGTTAAACAGTGCTAAATGGGTTTAAAGGAGGATCTTGGAGAAGCCAACAAAAGCCACATCAGGAGCAGATAAAATCCCCAAATCCTCTTTTACCTCCCTGCCTTTCCTCTTCCCCGCTCTGTTTCCACTCCTCCTTCTCTAACAGGATAAGTGGCCCATGCTAATTGGCTAAATGCACAGAGTTGGCCGTCCTGATCAATGCTTCAATGGATCAATTGAGGAGACAGATGGTGGCAGCAGGAGGGTTGGTACCTGAATGGTAGCATGTCTCCATAATACCAAACTTGCACCAACATACTTTTTTGCTTTTAATTCTTTAAAATTATAGACACTAACCCCTCCCAACAGGTCCAAACCCATCCCATGAGCTCCAGTGAAGGCCTTCTCCCATRCGGTTAATGTGACCGGACTGAAAGAGCAAGCTTTGTTTTATTTATCTGGGGGTCTTGTTTTTAATTTCACCCCTTCATTGGAGCGGCCTCTGTTCCAGGGCTTTTTGTGTTGACGCCCATGACTCTCATACCTGACTGGTATCGAGCCGAACGCTACATTTGTCTTCGGCTGTGAATGCTAATAGGTGACCTTGTTTTGGCAGTAAAACCTCTGAGGCCGCCCGGATCAAAAAGCTGAGAAAATGCWAAGGATTGACGGATGGATGTCCGTGGGAGATGAAAAGGCAATAAAAGAGCCAAGGGAGGGAAAAATGGAAACAAGAGTCAAAAAAATGRAGAAGTTTGCTCATTAAGGAGCTAAAGTTTGATTAAATTAATAGAAGTCTGGAAGAAGTCGATRCCACAGAGGATGCACAAACACCCACTCAATAAACATGCAAATGAGTTGCTTAATAGCTTGAATATTAATTCTTATGACAGCTAGTAATTAATGCACCTATCACTGACTCAAAGTGTTGCGATTATAATACGAGGAGAGCGGAGATATCTGCTTCAGATAGAAAGACTGAAATGCCTTTTTCTTTCTTTCTTTTTTTTGGTTTTCATCTCCAAACAGATGATGGTGTAGTAGATTCTCAGAGGAAGGAGAGCGATTTGCACGAAGAGCTCAGCTCACATAAGACAAGCAGCTCGTTGCCGTTTTGAAGCTTGCGACTTTGCACTTTTTATTTTGAGTTGAGAAAAACAAAATGTCTTCAAGAGACAAGAAATGAAGTTCAGTCACCAAATATATATATATGAAAAAAACTTAGACTCAACTCCAAACTTCTACCTTGAGACCAGGAGCCTGAGGCGTAAATCAGATTGCTTCAAACCTTTTTCAAAAAGATCCCTTTTTAGCTTTTGCTGCTGTAAAAATATCAAGTTGCTACAACCCACACAGAGCTGATCATCAGAAGCAGAAACTCTGCACAACTTCTGATGCAACTCATGAGGTCTCATCACGAAGCAGGGTTCACCTCTTTATCTCCAACTCCCCCTGCTGAASTGGGATTTTACCCCACATTAACCACGTCACCCCAGAAGATAGTGCAGCCTTGTAGCCCCTTAATGCAATCCATTCCCTGGGTCCAGTGCCATTTTAACTCTGTGACCCCCGCACGCTTTGATGTTGCCCTTTCTTCTCACACTTTGATGCACAAYCCTTCGAGTCGTGTTGCTTTTGTGTTTTTTCCGCTTTGTGAGGGCTTCTTTTGCAGCCACCGTCTCTCTGTCCCCCTCCTGGCACCCTCTTTCATTCCCTCTCTCTCTCTGTTCTGCTCTCTGTCAGACCCCTCTTCTATTCCCCCTCTGGCATCTGATGTGGCTCTTGAGGGGAGCGACATGTGCTGCAGTGTCTTGGCAGAACATGGAGAGAGTTTCCAGCTTCTTGCTCGCCTGCACCACTGCCAAGAGGCTCACATCTGTCTCTGATCAGAGAGCAGGAGCGGCCCAACACACGCGTTCAGAACTCTTTTAGTAAGCTAAACGAGAGAAAAGGAGGATGTGCAAACAGGAAGCGAGAAAATACTGGTTAGGTTGAGATGCCAGGTGGTGGTGTAAAGCCTGAACAGTCACGGTGGGATCATGGACCCCCTCTCAAATCCACCTACTCTCCATCAAAACCAAATGAATTTCTGCAGTAGAGTGTGGAGGGGGAAAAAAGGGTCTCGAAAACTAAAAATGCGAAGGAGGACTGTGTATTTCCTCACTGTGTGAGGAAGCAGACAGCTATGGATGAGTGAGCACAGCTTATGTGTCATCACTGCTCAGCCTGGAATAACCACTTCCAGCATGTTATCTGCACATCACTTGTGAGGAATAACAAATCAAATTTAGACCGAGTTAAGCTTATTTTGTGTTTAAAACTTGCCCATTCTGAACCTGAGGGCTCAGTTTGGCCCCTCAGATATCAGTGAAGCGCTAAAATCTGCGCGATTCTTCTGTTGATTGCTGAGAGCGCACAGAAGCATGGCAGGGAGCCTCAGCCTGGAGCTATTCTTGATTTCTTCTGTTGAAAAAAAAAAAGGCTAGAGAGAAAGAGAAAGCTCTGGTCGCTAATGAAGGCAATGATCGCATTAGTCAATCCAAAGCTTTTACGCACCAGAAAAGTGGAAAATTGTGGGTTTACTAGGCACATCTCACATTTGAAACTCGGTTTCCACCCCGATCTGAAGCACATTTAATCAGGGATTCAGTTTGTTTATTATCACTGATTAACAATTAGGATAAATTAAGGGGGAAAAACACGGGAAGTGCCTAATTTCCTGACACTTCCCGTTTATTATCCTGACAATAAGCTTCAGATTACTTCATCAAACAATCTGAGTTAATCAGTTTGGACTGAATTAAGCAGTGACTAAAAACAAAGTCCAGATTTACGCGATTTGAAGGAAACACGTGCGTTTGGGTAATATTAATCCAGATCATTTTGCGTCTAAAAGCGTTTGGATGAAAGCAAAAAAATCATACAAAAATATTTCAAACAGGATATTTATGCGTAAAAGTAAGTGCGCTTTTGAAATGAAAAGATCCATTGGAGTATAACAAATATGTTATTTTGGTTACATCAAACCACGCGCGCATCAAATACCATGAAGTCGCTCCAACTCACCGTTTTCTGCCCCGACCTTTAATCCCAGATGGCACAAAAATATTAAAAATCCAATCAGAGGCGACGCAAAATCCATCTTGGATCGGGGGGCAAAACTTGGGAAGTTTTAAAGTTCCTTTCAAAAGAAAATCCACAGCCGCTGGAAGGAGTCGGAACGGAACCAAATTAATGAAAATCCCCGCGCCTACATGTCATCAGAACCAAAATGATCATGCGTCCAGTTGTTGGATAGGTGCCACTGAACCTCATAAAAAAACTGTTGAAAAAGCAAACTTCCAGATGGATGCAGCTGTTTGGGCTGGAGAGAATGGATAACGGGCTCCAGCCTGGCTCCGGGTCCCGCGGTAGACCTCCGMTCCGCCGCGTATTTTTGCGCACGCGATGGCTGAATCCTCCCCTTCTCCTGCAGGAGCTGAGGTCCGAGTGTCAGAAATGTGGCGCACGAGGAGCAGGGTTTTGAAATAAGAACTGGATNCTCCTGAGGCTGTTTTAGGAGGAATATCACAGAAAAGAAGAGGGGCTGCACTGCAACTGGCACATGGGCTGCTTCCCCACATAAAAAGAAACAAACAAACCGAAAAGCATGGTCAAAGCCCCACTAGGGGGAGAGCCCACCTCAGGCCTGCCCCACATCTCAGCCCTGCAATCAGCAGGTCTAAATAAAGAGCTGGGAGGCTGTAATGACACAGTAGTGAACCCAAAATAATCTGCTGAGAAAGGCCTCTCCAGCGTCCAGCCCATGTGCCCCTGCCTGTGGTTTCTATTACCTTGTAATGTTGCGGACTGGCTGCGCAATGACTACTAGCTGGCATCCTTTTTTTGGACCCAGCCAGGTGCATTCCTAAAGGTCAGCCCTCATGGGAAACTTTCTGAGGTGATACATGCGTGTTTTCTTAAAGCTTTAGCTCAGATCTGTTTGTATTGAAGTGGAAAGGTTGGAAACTATTAAAATCTCACCTGTTTTATAGATCTCTCTTTGAATGACCTCAGTTAGCTGAAATCAGGTTTAATTCTGACCAGACTAATGAGCTCTCAGCCAACCTGAGTGATGTCAAGATTAAACTGGATTTCTTAAAATAACTCCTGCCTCAAACTTTTTCCAGCAGTTTATGTCATCAACGTAGACCTTTTCATTATTTTCCTATTATTATTTTTACATTAAATTCTACATTTCAAGGACCTTCTTAATCCCACCAGCACATCTTTCATGGAAAAAGCTAAATTCAAGGGCTTCGGGATTTAGTCTACCTATATAACTAGGGCTGAAGTTGTTGAGGTAGTTAAAAAGCTCTGTGGTGGTGGATGAAATCCATCCGGAGTTCTCCAAGGCTCTGGATGTTGCTGAGCTGTCTTGRTTGACACACCTTTGGAGAATTTACTGTGAAAGTTTTTTTTAATTACATTACATTACAAGTGTTTGAACATAGGTGGCTGGTTAAATGTATACACCTTACCAAAAACTGGGGAGTTGTGTGGAAGGATGTTGAACAAAGACTTGGCCCCTCTATGAATATCACGGCCCCTTCATGGACACTTATACCATTTTTTTGTTGCAAATAGGAGCAGATATCGTAAGATTTTTTTCTTCTTTTGCTGCCTTTCATTTTATTTGATTTGTATTGTTTTGTTGTATGTAATGCATTTTTTTAAATGAAACGAATCAATACAATTTGAATTTGAAAATAAAAAAATAAACCCTCCTAGATCCACCACTGGGTGGTGGTTCCTGTTTTCATAAAAGGGGACCGGAGGGYGTGTTCCACAAGGGAATCACACTCAAACTTCCCGGGCAACGTCTTTTCAGGGGTACCAAAGAAGAGAGTTTGGTCAATGGGTGAACCTCACATTCATCAGGAACAATGCARGTTCTGTCCTGGCCGTGGAACACTGGACCAGATCTTTACCTACCAATAGGGTCCTCAAGGTCGGCAAGGGAACTTGCCCAACCAATGTATGTGTATTTTGCGGACCTAGAGAAGACATTCAATTGTGTTCCCCAAGATAAACTGTGTGTGTATGTGTGCGTGTGTGTGTGTGTGG